AAGATGCTCGAGTATGAAGTACGTTATACACCACTTGAGAAATTATGCCTCGCATTGGTGTGGGCCACAACCAAGTTAAGACATTACATGCTCATGCATACAATCTTTGTAGTCTCCCGAATGGATCCACTGAAGTATTTATTTGAGAAGTCTACACTCAATGGGCGCATATTGAGATGGATAGTCAACTTAGCCCAGTTCGATGTAAGATTCATGCCTCAAAAGGCTATCAAAGGATCTATGGTATTAGATTTTCTAGTGGACTTCCTAATAGAAGATTCAACTCCAATACACGACAATGAATTTCTAGACGAAGACTTGATGGTCACAGAAGATGATGCTTGGACCTTATATTTCGATGGAGCCTCAAACCAAAAAGGATGTGGCGTTGGAGTATTACTAGTATCACCTAAAGAAGAGCATGTTCCAATCTCCATAAAGCTAGATTTTGACGTTTCCAACAACGCTGTTGAATACGAAGCATGCGTGGTAGGCCTTGAAACAGCTTTGGCATTGGGAGTGAAGAAATTACGAATATTCGGGGACTCTTCATTGATCATCAACCAGATTTCTAAGACATGGAAAGTAAGGAGCGAAAGTCTAGCCCCTTACCAAACTTATTTGGAAACTCTCACTAATCAGTTAGAGAAGGTATAATACACGTATCTACCTAGAGAGGAAAATCAATTTGCTGATGCCTTGGCAAGACAAGCCTCAATGGTTAGGATTCCTACCGAAATCGAGCAAATTCCTCCAACTATAGAAAAAAGGCATAAACCGGCTTACATTCAAGCAATAGAAGACGATGAAGTAATCCAAGATGAAGAATAAGAAGAAGAAGAAGAAGATGAAGAACCGTGGTATACGGATATACTTAATTATGTCACCTAAGGAGAATACCCTCCCCATGCTAACAAAAGAGCAAAACGAGCATTAAGACTCTTGGCTTCCCAATATGTACTCATAGACAACGAATTGCATAAAAGGGTACCTAAGGGTCGAGCTCTCCTATGTGTAGGTAAAAAGGATGCTCAAAGAGCAATGAGGATAGTCCACGAAGGCATTTGTGGAACTCCCGTAAATGGCAAAATGCTAGTCCAAAAGATAATGCGAGAAGGATATTATTGGACTACCATGAATAGGTATTGTCATCAATACGATAAAAGATGCCCTAAGTGCCAAATTTACGCCAATTTACAACATGTTCCTCCATCTCTATTCTACACCTACACTTCACCATGGCCATTCTCTTCATGGGGAATGGACATTATTGGTAAAATCACTCCCCCAGGAACAGGAGGTCATGAATATATCCTAGTAGCAATTGATTACTTCACAAAGTGGATCGAAGCACAATCATATGCTAAACTCACTGCAAAACATGTAGCACTCTTTATCGAAAGAAATATTATTTGTCGATATGGAGTCCCACATGAAATGATAAGTGACAACGGAACTCACTTTCAAGATGAGTGTGAATAATTGTTACAAAAATATGGCATTCAACACCATCATTCTTCTCCTTATAGACCTCAAGCAAACGGAGCAGTTGAAGCGGCTAATAAAAATCTACAGACTATCATCGAGAAAATGACGGAAAATTACAAGGATTGGCCTCACAAACTCTATTTCGCACTGTGGGGTTATCGCACGTCAATTCGCACATCAATAGGAAATACGCCATTTTCCTTTGTTTATGGAATGGATGTCGTACAACCTGTAGATCTAGAGATACCATCTCTACGCATCGCATTAGAAAGCAAACTCGATGAAGTTGAATGGACTAGGGAAAGATGTGAGAAGCTAATTCTACTTGATGAAAAACGACTAGATGCTCTACATCATACTCAATGCTATCAAACTCGTATGGCTGAGCATTTTAATAAGAAAGAAAAGACAAGAAACATCAAAGTAGGAGACTTGGTGTTAAAAGAATTAAGGAAGAATGTTATAAATCCAAGGGAAAAATTTAGGCCTAATTGGTCTGGACCCTATATTGTCAAAACAATCCTATCAGGAGGTGCAGCAAAATTAACTGATATGGATGGCAATGACTTCTCGAACATGATAAATCTTGACCAACTTAAAAAATACTTCCCAAAATTACTTGAGTAGGATACTCAAGAGAGCTACATTTGGCCTGATTCCTTAAGAAAGGATACGTAGGCAACCCTTTACGGGTGCGGCCACTTTAATATAGAAATAGAAGGTTTATATACTAATCCGTACTTTGCATATGGTACCGAAAGACAATTGCGCGACAAAGTCAACTAATAGAACAATATTTTTTTTGAGACAACTAATAGAACAATATTCATTCCCTTTTTTTAAAAAAAAAAAAATAAAAATAAAAACCGCAAAAACTAACTATTGCAATAAATATTATTATATCTTTTTTTTTTAAAAAAAAAAAAAGACACTTCTGTAAACTATTTTCATATACATTTCCATATACATAATTAGACTATAGGCACTTATGGTCTTACCAATTAACAATCAAAGGTAAACAAATTAGCTAAAAATAATAAACTTAATATCATATCAAGTCAAAACATATCATATTAAATTATTATTTGTTTGATCATATTTTTAGTTTGCTAATCCTTAAACAAAAAAAAAGCAAGTCTCCTTGGAATTTAAATTGTTTTAGACGAGACGATAAGCAATATTTAAGTCTTTATTCTAGATAACACCCTATAAATATATATTTGCATGAACCATACCAAAATCACACTACTAGAAAATAGCTTAATTCCAACGGACTGCTTCCGACGGACCCAATACTCCGTCGGAAAAAGGGAAATTTACGACGGATTTTTTTTTTCGTCGGAAATTTCCGACGAATTCATCGATTCCGTCGGAAATTTCCGACGGAATAAATATCCGTCGTAATTTTTGTATGTTCCGACGGAATTTTCCGTCGGAAATTACCTTTTCCGACGGATTTATAGTCCGTCGTAAGTTTCCGACGGAATATTCCGTCGGAACATAATTTATTTTTTAAAAAAAAAAAACCATTTCCGTTACAAAACCCTAAAAAAAACTTGAGAAGCGCCTCTTTTCTCTTCTCCTCTCCACTCTCTCTCTTCTCCGTTCCTCTGCTTCTCTCTCCTCTCGTTCTCCTCTCTGCTTCTCCCTCCTCTCCTCCTCTTTGTCTTTCCTCTTCTCTCTGTTCTCTCTCCTCTCGTTCTCCCTCCCCTCGTTCTCCTTTCCTCTGTTTCTCTCTGTTCTCTCTCCTCTCGTTCTCCCTCTTCTCGTTCTCCTTTCGACCACCACACCACGGCATCAACAACAACACAACCACCTTCATCAAACACCACGGCATCAACAACAACACAACCACCGTCATCAAACACCACCGTCATCAACGACCAACACACAAACGGCATCAACCAACTACTTGAAAGGTTTTTTAGGCCAAATTCGGCCATGAAAAGTTTAGATCTACACTTTTCATGGCCGAATTTTGCCTTGTTAAACCGTTTCCGTGTTGAAATTCGAAGCATATTTCAATTTCAGGTATGTTTTATGTTTTAATTTTTCGATTTTTGTTTCCGATTATTTTTTTTTAAATATGGATTTCGGTGGTGGTAGTGGGTGTGGCTGATGTGCGTGCGTTTAGCATTTGCAGTGGTTTGTGGTGGCTGTGAGAACTGGGCTTAGGTGGGGTCGGGTTCGGTCGGGTCCGGGTTAGGGTTTGGGTGTTTAGGTGGGTGGATCTAGGTATGGGTGAGGGTGGGGTATGGGTGTTTTGGTTAGAGTTCGGTCAGGGTGAGGGTAAAGTGGTGGTGGTGCTGTGGATAGGTTAGGGTGGTTGTGGTGGTGGTGATGTGGATAGGTTAGGGTGGTTGTGGTGGTGGTGCTGTGGATCTGGGTACGGGTGGGGGTGGTGTTGTGGATAGGTTAGGGTTAGGAAGTGGGTGTGTTTGGGGTTGACAGGGGTGTTTTGGGTGGTTGGAGGTTGTCGGTGGGTGGTTGATCTGGTGGTTATCGGCGGTAGATGTGGTGGTTGTGGGTGGTTGGGGTGGTTATGGATGACGGTGGTGGTCTGCTAGGGCTAGGTTGTAGGTGGGTAGTGGGGTGGTGGATCTGGTGTAGGTGGCTGGTGGGTAAGGTTCTGGTGTGGTTGGCTGGTTGTGTGAGGTGGTGTGGGGTGACGGCTTGCGGTGGTACAGCGTGGTGGTGGCCTTTTTTTTTGTTTTTTTTAAGCATTTTCCGATGGAAATTCCGTCGAGAATTTACGACGGAATTCAATTCCGTCGAAATTTTCCGAGGGACTTTGCCGGGCTTGAAAATACTCTCGGCGGACTGAAATCCGTCGGAAAACCCATTTACGACGAAATTCCGTCGAAAAAGGGTGTTTTTCCGACAACAACTTTTCCGACAACCGGTTACGACGGAATTCCGTCGGAAATGGGTTTTCCGACGGAAAACAAGGTGTTTCCGATGAAAATTTTCCGTGGCAATTAACATGTTTTCTAGTAGTGTCATAATTTAATCCAAATTTCAAACAAATTGATCAAATCTAATAAATGACATGTACAAATCTACTCTTTTGAACACGTATAACTTTTCAGATTTGGTAAGCTATACCCAACTCAAAATTGCAAATGAAAAGCTTCATAGATGGCCTATAAAGTATCATCTTTATTCATTTTGATAAGAGTTAAAACTAGAACAATCCAGTTACAAGACAAAAAGTGGCCTATATTAGAACAAAATGTGAACCTGAAAAATATACATTAACATTTCTTACTATATAAGCAACAACAACACTACTAATTCATACATAACAATAATATAATATTTGTACCTACAATGAATACCATCTAGAAATTAAAGATCACTAGTAGAAAAAAGAAAAAAGGCACCGCTCAATGGCCACCGATTTTCAAAAACCGGTGGGGAAAAAAAGGGGAAAAATGGGCGGGATTGTGGGGATATAGTATTTCCACCGGTTCAAACCGAACCGGTAGAAATAATATTATTCCCACCGGTTCAAAACCGGTGGCTTTGATATATTTTTAAAAAAAATCGCCCCTTTATAAACCGCAAACCCTAACTCGTCACTCCTCTCCAATTCTTTTCTCAGCCGTTTCGTTCTCCTCCTTCGCTTTCTCTCTCTTCCTCCTTTCTCTCTCCTGCATCCCCTCCATCTGTTCGTCTCCATCAGTTCTCCTCCTCTTTCTCATCTCCTTCGATCTCCTTCTCGCCTCCATCTTTTCTTTCATTTCCACCACCACCAAGACCACCGCCGCATCAATAACACCACGAAGACATGCATGAGCACCACCGATTTTACCACCACCGCAACAATAATACCACGAACACATGCATGAGCAACACCAACTATATTCGAGGTTAGGGTTTGATTTTAATTCGATTTCTTTTGGGTTTTTTTTAGGCTTTTAAATCAAATTTTTTCTGGGTTTTTCAATAGAACTTTCCTGGATTGCTAAATCAAATTTTCTGAGTTTATATGTGTTTTTGATCGATGTTATTCGATTTCTTCTGGTTTTTATTCTAGTTTTTCAATCGAATTTTTCTGGGTTTTTAAATAGAATTTTCTGAGTTTTCAAATCGGTTTTAATTCGATTTTTATTGATTTTAATTCGATCTTGTTCTGGGTTTAATTCGGTTTTAATTATGGGTACATGGTACATGCTTTTTTCTTGGTTTTTTTTACATGCATAGTGTTCTGAGTATTTTTTTCGCAGCTTATGTATTTTAATTGATTTTTTTTTTAATTGATGCAGGTATATTGATTTAGATCTTAAATCGAAGAATCAAGATGCAGGAATATTGATTTAGATGCATCTGGCGTTTTTTTGATTTTGATGTTGTAATTTTTTTTATTTATATTGTAATTTTATTTTTTAATTTATATGTTGTAATTGTTCAACAATATTGATTTATATTGCAATTTTTTTTTTTTAATTATATATTGTAATTTTTCGATTATATGGATTGATATAGTTCAGTTTATATTTTGATGTTTGTAATTTTTTTTGACTTAATTGTCCTATTATAATTCTTTTTAAAAAAAGACAAAAAAAAAATTATGTGTACATGCTATTGCCACCGGTTAACCGGTGGCAAAAATTATTAATACCAAAAAAAAAAACCGCGAAGCTATAATTGCCACCGGTTGACCGGTGGCAATAATAATATTACCACCGGTTAACCAGTGGCAATACCCCTTTTCGCCACCGGTTTTGAACCGGTGGCCTTGTTTGTGGTCATTGCCACCCCCAAATGACCACCGGCTCAAAACCGGTGGCATAGGGGGGTTTTGAACCGGTGGCCAAATGATATTTTCGCCTAGTGGATAAATCACACATTTACGTTAATTAAGATAAAAACTATTATGTTTCGCCAAACGGATCGTGCGCGATGGGTTCAAAACTAGTATAATAAAAGGTAAGTAGGATAGTTGATAATATAACACTAAAAAAACAGTCGCATTTGATAAATATAACCTTTTCCACACCAAAAAAAAAAAAAAAGACAAATTGGAAAATTTGACTTTGCTCAAAGAAGAAAGAACGGAATTAATAAAAAAAAATGGGAAATTATATTTGCATCTAAGCACGATTTGAAAATTTTACTTATATCAAGATACCACTAGACCATCTAGTGACATTTCTTTTACTAACTATTTATATTGTACATAAACCAAAACTATTGATTAGAAAAGACCAGAAAAAAAAAAATAGACATTTTTTTACTGTAAATTGCCATGGTATTTACAGTAAAATTCATGCATGGTTGGTGAGTGTTAGGTTCCTTCCTCTAATGATCACATTAGATCTATGACTGCTGAATTATGTATCAGATAATAGCTTCAATTGTATTGATGATATTGGCTAATATTTATAGCCTACAAAAGATAACCTATACAATATAAACTCTATCATATAAACTTTTATAAATCTATCTTAAAATATCACTAAGATATATTATTATCCTAAATATAATATCATAAGATTTATGTGGAAAATATATCACAATAATATATTTTCCTATATTCCTAACACCCTCCCGCAATTATAACGGTAGTAACACGAACGTAGCGATTGGAAATTTTTCAATATATTGAAGTTGATCGAGTTGCAATACTCTATTGATGTCGCCTGCAATTTATTTATTTATTTATTTATTTTTTTTTTAAAAAAACACTACTACAAAATTATCCAAAAAGATCATCTAAAAATGGCCAAAGAGATCATTTCAAGTGTGGTCTCAAGCTCAATAGTCTCTTTGGCCAAAGAGACCACTTGTTTAAAATAGGTGGTCTCACTTTTTGAAAAATTGAGACCACTTATTTAATATAGATGGTCTTAGTTTTAGAAAAACTGAGGCCACCTATTTTGAGTAGGTGGTCTTTGATTTTCAAAAACTGAGATCGTCTATTTCAAATAGACGATCTCTTTCTTCATTTTTATTTAAAAAAAAAATTATTTACTTTTTACATATACTCGTACTTCGTATAATTCCTAATCAAACAAAGATATGATTCCTCCAATAAAGAAATACAAGTAGTTCATACTTGCAAAATATTATACATATGTTAGACCCGGTTTGATTCACCTTAATTTTAAGGAACTAAAATTATTTTTACTAAACTGAACTTCATTTTACTGAACAGAAATTATTTTTACAAAATTTCTATTATAATTCTTACTGACTGAAATTATTTTTACTGACTGAAATTATGGTGAAGAGAAAAGGGCCTTACACTAAAAACTAAAAAATATAAGTAATCATTAATACTTCAATCAATAAACAATGATTTTGTAAAAAATTAGAAAGAAAAAAAAAGTGGGATGTAAGTTGATCTACTACTCTTCAATCTACATTGCCTCCATTGATGTACCTGCATCAAAAGGGAATAAATTTAGTCTTGACAAGTTAATAGCAAAAATCGAGATATTGAAAAAAGAGCAGTTTAAATCTCCAAAAAATAAAAATAAAAAATACTGGTAGTTAAAAAACAATCATTTTTTTTTTCAAACAAATAGTATAACATTTCATCTGTTTTTGTTTTTTTACAGGATTAATTCATCTGTTTCTACATGTATATAATCATATAAACAGTTAAACATCAATTTTTTTTTTTATCTAAAACATAAAAATTGAACCAATATCCTTAAAACCGAAGTAATTGACAAACCGAATTTTTTTTGAAATCAACTAATCAAATAAATAAAACATGAACCATCAAATAAGTCAAAATGCATGAGCAATAAAACAGATCTAGATACTATAAAATAATAAAATAGATAAAAAAAAAAAAAATAGTAGAAGTTGTAAAACAGATCGAAATGCAAAACAAAAAAAAAAACAAATTGAAAATAAGATGAAACCAAACATATGAAATTCATACCAGGATGAATGACTCCAAAAAAAAAAATTGAAGAAATCAAAATGCAAGTGATTTTGAGTTAGTGGGATCTAAAAATGCGTGTGGGAGTTAGTGGGATCATTTCATCTGTTGACATGATTAAATTGTCACAAATTTTAGTACTTACAAAATTAACAAAAAAAAAAAAAAAACCTTATGATATGTTACCTGTACGCACCATCATCGAAAGCAACAAATTGGTAGTGGATGATGGAATTGTTGTTGCTGCTGGTGGCATTGATAGTTGTTGTTGTTGCGGTGGTTGTTGTTGCTTGACGTTGTTGAATAGGTACCGAAATTCGAATCGGAGCTTGAACCGATGCTGGATTTTGGAGGCGGTGGGGGAAGGGAAAAGTTCGAGAGAAGAAGAGAAAAAGGATTGAAGATGAGGAAGAAGTGAGAAATTAGGGATTAAAATAATAGAGAGAGAAAAAGGAGGGCGGCTAATAGATGAAGAGTGCTGGTAAATTTTAGGGTTTGACTGTTTGAGGGAAAGAGGATAGGGAGATCTAAGGTTGGATATTTTACACATGGTAAATCCGTGTAACAGATCAGATTATTTTTTTTTATTCACTTAATTAAACGGATTTTTCATGAAATACCATTGAGTTTTTTCGAAAATTCATCATATACCACACAAATTTTTTTAATACACCAAATACCACTGAGTTTTTGGTAAATGTCACAACATACCATTAATGACTAACGGACGTTAACACCGTTAGTCATTAAGGCTAATAATGCCACGTGGCAGGCTGGCAGCTTGTGATAAGCCCCCTTCTAAATTATTTAATTTTAGAATAATTATTTAATTAATTATCAAATAAAAACCAAAAAATAACAAAAAATAATAAAAAGTAACAAAAATTATTAAAAAAAAAACAAAACCTGCTGCCAGCTTGCCACCATCCCACCACCACCACCAGCCAGCCCATTCCGGCCACCTCACCGCCAAACCCCTTGCCGCCGAGGCCAGAAACAACAGGCGCGCCGGAGGCCGGCGGCCTTCCACCCCTTCCCTCCCCTTTTCGATTCTGGCCACCCCACCCAAAACCCCCTTCCCCTCCCCTTTTCGATTCCGGCCACCCACCCAAAACCCCCTTGCCCTCCCCTTTTCGATTCCATCGACTTCACCCAAAACCCCCTTCCCCATCCCTTTTCGACTATTTCAAGCCAACCCACCATCCCACGAAACCTAAACACCCACCGACGATCCCTTTTGCTTTCTCCCCTCTCATTGTCGCCTCTGCTCCTCCTCTCCCTCTCTCTCTCTATTTTTTTTTAGGAAATTATGGGTAAGGGCTTTTTACGGGTGAGTGTTGGGTTTTTAGGGCGGATTTTTCGTGTGGATTTCGAAGATTAAGGTCGGGTTTGGGGTGGGTATGGTGATATTTTGGTGGTTAGGGTGGGGATTCGAGGTGGGTACGGTTGTTTTGAGGTGGGTGTCGGTGTGGGTCTGCGGGCTTGGGTTGGTTTTGGCCGACGAAGGCTGATGTTGTAGGAGGGGGAACAAAAAGGGGGTAGGTGGAGGAGAGTACAATGGAGGTTGGCCGGCGTTCAGGGAAAGGAAGAGAAAGGGGCCAGGCGCTGGTGTTGGGAGGAATGAGGGGAGGAGAGAGGCTGGGCGTTGCCGGCCGGGGGTGGGGTTGCTTGGCGTCGGCAGGGGGGCTGGTGGCTGGCTGGGTGGAAGAAGGGTTGGGTTTTTTATTTTACAAAAAAATATTTTAACTTATTTTTTTTTTGTTATTTTTTGGTTTTTATTTTTTTTATTTGATAATTAATTAAATAATTTAGAAGGGAACCAATCACAAGCTGCCACGTGGCATTATTAGCCTTAAACGGTGTTAACGTCCGTCAGTCATAATGGTATGTTGTGACATTTACCAAAAACTCAATGCTATAAGGTGAATTAAAAAATTTTGTGTGGTATATGGTGAATTTTGGAAAAACTCAGTGGTATTTCATGAAAAATCCGTTAATTAAAAGGAGAGATCATATCTCCTAATTAAATGGTCTCTCTCTTTTTATTTATTTTACTAGATGTAAGCCCGTGCGATGCACGGTTTTTAAATATTTCATTTTGTATATTTTTTTTGTAATTTCTTAATATTTTTTGTTTTTATTTTCTATTCTATTATTTTAACATTAATTTAAGGTAAAATATTTTGTTAAGTTTTAAATTATTCTTATTCAAATTTTACGTATATATAGAACTTGAATTTATAAATTGAAATAAATATTATCTCATTCATCCGATAGTTAGATAAAATCATTAAATCAAAATATATTTTTTAATTTCTAATTATTTGTTAAAATAATATAAATCCTAATGTAAAAGATAATATAAAAGATATTTTTTTTATTCATAATTTAAATCTTAAATTACTATTTTTTGTTTTTAATTCTCAAATTTCATTTGTTAATTTTTTCTTAAATGACGACTGAAAATTAAAATTCTAAATTAATATATAAATATAATTTTTCATTGGTCGAAATATTACTTTTTCTTATGTGGCGTGCGATGCACGAATTTTTATATACATTTTGTATATAAATATATTTTGGTGATCTCTTAATTAACATCAAATGATAATTTATATTTTTTAAATATCAAAATATAATTTTTATTTTTTTAAATAATATAAATCTTAATATCTAAAGATAATTTTTAGTCTTGTAACAAATAAAAATGATAAAATTTAGTGTTCTCAAATAATTAAAATCCTAATAAATTACTATTCATTGTTTTTACCTACATTGCAAAAATTTAAAATTTCATTCGTCATTTTTGTTTAGGTGGCGAGTGATTTTTTTAATTATAAAATAAAATAGAAATCTAATTTTTAATTGGTCAAAAATATGTCTTTTCTTATGTGGCGCTCCCAATACTCTCCAAAAATTCCTACTTTATTTATATATATTAGATTAATTAAAAAGAAGCAAAGAACATTTCTTTAAATAGATGGTCTCCCTTGTTTTTTATTTATTTGATTAAAAAAAGGGAGAGATCATTTCTCCTTAATAAATGGTCTCACTTTTTTTTTATTTATTTAAAAAAAAGGGGACCACTTATCTTATATAAAGGGTCTCTCTCTTTATTTATTTGTTTATTTGAGTTAATAAAAAGAGACCATTTATTTAAAATATTGGGTCTCTTGAAACCAAGAGACCATATATTTAACCAAATGGTCTCTTATTTGAGGTCTCTTTGGCCAACTTTGTAGCAGTGAAAACAAATTTCCCAGTCATGGCCCTTTGCTGGTGTCCTTGGTCTTCTGCTACGGCCCTTTACAGGTTCCGTGATCTTTTGCCACGTCCCTTTGTTGGTGTCCGTGATCTCCTGTCACGGCCTTTTGCTGGTGTCCGTGATTTCTCTGCCACGACCCTTTGCTGGCGTTTGTCGTTTTCTCTACCACGACCCTTTGCTGGTGTCCGTAGTCTTCTCTGCCGCGACCCTTTGCTAGTGTCCATGATTTGATTTTTTCAAAGAAAATAATTTTTTTTAAAAAAAGACCTAGATTGATACTGTTTTAGGTGTTTTTTGTCCCTCGGGAGAGTTATAGCACAAAGACTGGTCCGACTCGAGTTGTACCTGCAAAAACAACGGAGACTCTGGGTGGTTGGAGCTCCGCCTCCGACGATCAAGTTAGAACGTGTTGGAGTAATAAAAAAGTGCGGAAAAAGGTAAAAGTGAGATCTTCTCGGATTTCGAGATCAGGAGATTTCTCTAATGTGAGAGAATATGGATGTAATAAATGATTGAGTGTGTCCCAAAATTTGGGGAATATCTCCCTATTTATAGGGTCATTTGAGGGTGTGCCCTTATCTAGGTCATTTGACCTAGATTTGGTGGGCTGCGTTGTTTTTCGGCACTTTTTGGATATTGAGCCCTTGAAGGCCGCCATTTCAGGAGATATCTGAGGGTGACACATGTCAGATGGCGATCGGTCCACTTGGACCAGCCTGGGATTGACACATGGCCCTCTCTAATTGGTCCACGTGGACAGGGTAATTTTACCCAAAACATTTGCCCCTCACAGGTGACACGTGGCTTGCCATGTGACGCTTGTGACACGAGGCAGCAAATTGATGGTAACAGTAAAACTGTTCACCATCTAGGGTTTTACAGGGATGCCCCTGATTTTTTACCCTTCTATAAATAGGATGTTTCACCCCCCTTATCTCCTCATTTCACACTCCAAAGTTTTGACTTTTTAGGGAGAGAAAAGAAGAGTATTTAGAGAGAGAAACTCTGCTTCCGTCTACTTAAATGATTGCGTTTTCCGACTGCTCTTCGAGGAACACACCCGGTCACCGCTTGTAGCAGTTTTCAGAGTTTCAGAGACAAGTTAAAGGTAACCGCCTGCACCCCTTTCAAGCTTTTTATAATTTCCCACGTGTGTAGTTAGGCTTCAAAATAAAATTGACTCTCCATCGACCCACACGGCACCGCCTAGGTCATTCAGCCGATCTCCTAGTACGGCTGAATCTAGAACCGGGGGTGCCATTTCTGGAAATTTTAACCTGCTTTGCTCATCCCCGAACACCTCCGTCTTTGTGTCTATGCAGGACAACATGGCCATAGTAAAACAAACGGCTATTAAGCCTAGAAAGAGGCGCGCTAGAAGAGTGCCCGCTGATGAAATTATTCTTGATGAGGAATACAAGGATACGGAGGAAGAGCAAGAGCAGGGAGAGGAGGAAGAGCAGGCGGCCTCTTCTTCGGGTGGCACCCCTTCAACCCCCAACGATACCATTTTTTATGGGGCAGACGACGGAGATGATGGTTCAGACCTAGGGTCTAATGGAGGGGAGTAAGGCGGCGAGGAAGACGCGGAAAGGTCTGGCTCAGAAACGTCTGGCTCTAACCAAGAAGACTTTGCGGCTGCGTATGAGTAGCCAGTGAGAGGTTCAAAGAAGCCAAATCCTTTAGAAACCCGGATGCTCATCAAGGATTTGGCTGTAATGCAAAGTAGCTTTAGGGCCTTTGCTGATGCACACCCGGTTGGAGAAGGGTGGAGAATAGAGGTTCCTCTACCTGAGGCAACAATTGCCTGGGAGGACAACATAGAAAACGCCGACAATTGCATCGGCTACTATGAGGCGGTAATCATAGCCGGCCTCTGCTTCCCCCTTCACAATGCAATAAACAGAATATTAAAGGGGTATTGTTTTGGGTGTTTTTGTCCCTCGGGAGAGTTACGTCACGAAGTCTGATCCGACTGAGCTGTACCTGCAAAACAACGGAGACTCCGGGTGGTAGGAGCTCTGCCTCCGACGATCAAGTTAGAAACTCGAAAGGGAATAAAGAGTACGGAAATTTAGGTGGGGATCTGCCTGGATTTCAAGCTCAGGTATTTTTCTGATGTGAGAGAATGTAGGTGTAATAAATGATTGAATGTGTCCCCAAAATGGGGAAATATCTCCCTATTTATAGGGTCCTTGGAGAACGTGCCCCTATCTAGGTCACTTGACCTAAATTTCAGTGGGCTGCGCCGTAAAACGGCGCTTCTAGGGATTTGGGCCCTTGAAGGCCGCCATTTCAGAGATGTATCTGAGGACGCCAAGTGTCAAGAGGATATTAAGCCACATGGGGCATCCTGAGCTCGACACGTGGCCTCCTCTCATTGGTCCACGTGTCTAGGGTATTTTTACCCTAAACATTTGCCCCTCACAGGTCGCACGTGCATATCACGTGGGGCCTGTGACACGTGTCCACCTTTCAAAGGTGAAAAGTAACGGGTAAAAATTTAAATTTCAAACCAAAGTTTTTCCCCTCGCTTTCACCTTCTATAAATAGAAAGTTACCCCCCTTTTTCTCTCACCTTACATTCATTTGACTTTTTAGAGAGAGAA